CTCTGTCCCAAGCAGGCACTGGACTCTGCTCTGAGCAGCACAGCTGTCATGGTCACAGTGAAATCATCCAAATGTGAAGAGAGAGAGAGACCACGGAGAACTGGGGAAGGGAGCAGGGTTCAGATTAKCGACTGCAGGGCTGGATGTGGCCAGTAACTTCCAGCTGGGAAACAAAGAGCTCCAGTGAGATAGCCTATGGACACCTATCTCCTTTAAAATACATGAACTTTGTTAAATCAGGCTTGTACACAGATGGCTGGTGATTTCCTGAGGGCCCAAATTACACTGTGCTGTCTGGGGAGGTTTGTTGTCGCTCTTGAAGCAGCCAAACAAGCCCTGTAGGCTAAACAAAGGTACCTAACACTGCCCGAGAGAGCCACCTATAGCTAGGCACAGTCCTGGTATTTTCCTGTGTTCCTCTTGACTCTGTCTTCAGACCCAGAGAGATGTGGAGAAAACAAATGTTGCRTATACAACTTCCTCAGAAATAAAGCAAAGCAGCAGGCAAGTTCAGGAGGCAAATGATCGCACGGTGACCTTGGGATTTGTGCTCCATGRCTTAAGGAGGTTAATAATGTTACAGAAAAATTTTACTAGAGGAAAAACAAGCTCTCTTTTGGCTTATCATCCATGCTTTAAAAATAGTACTGCAAAGCCAAAAAACAACCCAAAAAAACAAAACAAACAAACAAAAAAAAACCAAAACAAAAAAAAAAAAACAAACAAAAAAAAAAAACCACATAAAAACCAAACAACTTCCAAATAGAAAGTAACTCCTGTGCCATAGCCTGACAGGATATTTTACAGGAGAATTGTAAACTTTAAGAAGTCCTTTTTGAAGCCTCCAGTTAAATCCAAGGACAAAGGGCATTTTAGGAAGGAAAAATAGTGATGAATAAAATAATGATTCCTGCCCAGGAGTGGGAATAATTTAACATGTCAGTGATGATCTTCCACTGAATTATCCTTTGAAGAGCAGCAGCAATAAATTATCATTTTAMAGAAGTGAGCCCTCAAATTATGTCAATGATGTTGTCCTCTTTTTTTGGGGGGGAGTTTTGGGTCCTTCCTTTTCTTTTTGGGAGTTGTGGGTCCTCCCTTTTTCCTGTGGTCCACCATGCCAAAACACGGCTGTCAACACCACTTGGCTGCCATAGCTGGCTGCAATCTGCACCTTTATTGTAAAAAAAAAGGCTGTCCCTTGTCTCCCCCCACGCCTTCAATCCTGCTCAGAGGCTGTGACATGACCATCAGTAACTCACAGAAGATGCACTTGGAGAGTGCCAGACCCACCCTTGGAGCAGCACTCAGCTGAATAAATTCTCTGTTCTGCAAATAAGGGGAAAATATTATGACCCTTACAAAAGGGAGACTGAAAGGACAAGAAGAGAAACATTTTGGGGGTGTTTGTTAATCAGAGAAAACTGAAAATTCGGGGAGTTAACAGACATGAAGCAAACTTGAGATGATTGTGAAATAGAGTGCAATAAAACAGGGCTTGAATAGAGCAGAGGAGTAAGGACAAGGAGAGAAAACAGCACAAATCCGAGCGTTTTCTCCGACCCGGAGCTCCTTTGGAAGCAGCGTGAGCTCCATCCAGAGAGCCAGGTGAGAACTGCACGTGAAAGCAGAGTCACCTTACCCTGCCAGGAAACTGGTTTTGTAAGACTGGCTGTCAGATGGTTTGGTTTAAATTCTTCTTTCGATCATAGAAAGAAAGGAATGGAGGGAGGAGAGAGGTAAATKAGTAGATGTTATCTCATTATATTGTTTTGTTACAAAAGGAATGTCAAATCTTAACTCCAAAGTGTAGAAGGGTTAAAGGGATTATTCTCAGATATCAAGGATGCAAGACAATTGTTCCCACTTGGAGTAGTAGATTTTATCCTTTTAACATGGTTTGACTCATCAAATTAGTAGTGTCCCCTCTGAGTAACATAAAACAACAGGACACACACAAAGAGAGTCACAGACAGTCATTAGATACAGCTGACAAGCTGCCTAAAGYAGAATTCAAAAATAGTTTCTACCAGAGGGTCTTTTGTAAGTCCTTTGGAGGTCGATGGTTCTTTTGATTGCAAAGCACTAGGCTGACAGCGAGGTGTACRAATTTGGCCTCAGCCAAGCACAAAAGAAAGGTGGGCATCGCTCAGAAAAGAGGAAGAAGGAAACACATGAAACAGTATCTGAATCCCAGAGAGAATCTGCAATTAAATTTCTTTCAAACCTGCCATGTCCTTTATATTACATTGTCATCATCTAAAGATACAATCACCACAAGGTTCTCTATGCCCATTGTCCAGACACCCAGATTCTACACCAACCCTATTCTTCTTTCAAAAAAAGTTGTCAATGACTCAAATATGCCTGGAATTAAGAAAAACTAAAGGCAAATTAAATAGATCACACGGAGCAGGTCCAATAAACAAAAYCACCACCGGGTTTCTGCAGTTCATTTCTTTTCAGAGCATTTGAACGTTTCAAGAATGCAACGAGATTAAAAATACAGAGGAAGAGAAAAATATCTGAATCACAGTCATTTCCACATAGGATACAGGATACAGTTTTGCCCCAGAACTTGGGACAGAAGCTCCAATCTGCACTGCTACAAGGGACAATGTGACAATGTTACTGATGAAAACATAAAAGACCAAAACATTCTTTACCTAACTAATAGCTGCCTTTCTTWACTTAATTGATAGAATAGAATTAGAACATTTTGGTTGGAAGGGACCTACATGGAACATCTTGTGGATATTTATTGACAAAGAAATGCAACTTTTACAGATATCTATAATAAAGTAGTACTGGGGCTTTTTTAACCTACCAATCTCCCTCATAAAATTCATGCTGTCTGTGCTGCTTTATTAAAGMCTAAGTATTGAAAAAGTAACAGCAGAAAGTGCTATGCTCATGAGATTTAATTAGAGCAGTGTAACAGATTTTGAAGGTTCTGTTGTATTATAAACCTTAGATTTCCCCAGTGAAATATCTGACCCTACATGTAATGAATCTATTTCTTGAATTAAAAACATGCTCATCCAAGAGTTCCAGGACAAATAGAATATCTATCATTAACAATAAATAATACTTAATAAATATACACACACTCCATGTCTGGAAATCTCCCAAGTGTCTCTCTAGACTCCTTCCTTCCAGCCAAGTAGCTATTTCTGTGAATCTGAACTTCAACTTGTAGTCATAAGTCTTATCACAAAATTKTTTCTGCAGTATCTAAGGCATTGCATAACACTTGTGTCTTACAAGCTTGACCCGGTTCTTATGTCAGCAAACTATGAAATGGTTTTTCAAGTCAGTGAGAATAATTTTAAACCATTTGCTCTTCATTTGATAGTRCTATGGCTTGCAGTATTGTTTTTGTTGTATTTATGGAGTTTAGTTTGWCATGCACTGTCCAGTCCAGACTCACCCCACTAACTTCAGAACCTTCAGTGCTGTGCCTAAATTGGGAGCAAAGTGCCATAAGCTTCCCAATAAATCAACARAGGGAAACAGCCATCTCTACCTACCAAAGGTAGGTATATAACCTCCCTTCTGATGAAAAACTTCCCTAAAATGGGAAAGGGAGAGCTTTTTTTAGGGAGTTTATTGKTTTTTGGCAATGTTTGTATTGTTTCTCTGGTGAAAGGCAGGTAGCAAATTTTGAACCGAATCACTAAGCAGGTGGTTGTACAAAAACATCTTTATTAAGGAAATCATTAGAAAATCTTCCTGCTCTTGTTTTGCATCAATTTTAACAAATAACAAAATTACAGATTATTATATTTCTAATGGAATTTCTAGTTAAAAAAAAAAAAGCTTCACAGCCAGCAAGGAGTAACAACTGCAGCCCATTTACCACCAGGTTAGCAGGAAATAAATGTCATTTTATTATTGTTCTCTTGCTACAGAGTTTATTGGTGCATTTATGCAGCTCTATTTCATTTGCACRTATATGAAGAGCGCTGCTGTATAAAATGTAAATGGTCTGCATATGGAATTTAAATCTTTCCAATGATATAACAGCTCAACAGCCTTTTTGTTAGACTTACTAAAAAACTTTGAAGGCCATGTTTGCTCTTAAATCAAAACACTGCTATTTTTATTCAAGCATAGAGTGCAGGAACAGTTCAGCTGCACTTGCCTGTCAGTTTATTCAAAGAGGGTGTTTACTAATTCACTGATATCTCATTGCCTCAACAAWTAAGGACACAGACCCACACAACGCCCTCACCTCATCTTTTTACACGCCCCCTCCTACTGCTGCTCTGGGGATAGAGCTCTGCATTTGGACAATCTTCCTTTCCACTCATCATGTGCTGTAAATGTGGGAATAGAGTGAAAAAGAGGTTTTGAGTACATCCTTCTGCCTTCACCTTTACCTCCTGCACTTTATTGAGACTTTATCTGAGAGCAATCAGGACCAGTAATACCATCCTTGATTACAACACTTCATAGCTGGCATTATTCTATCAGGAAATGGATGTTCAGCTGGGATGGCCATTACACTCTCAAAAGACAGCTCTCAAGTTAGGCCTCCCACCAAAACACTGGAAAAACTATGAAACCTGAATTATTCTCATATCCCCTTCTAGGCTGGATCCTCCATCTTCACAGCAAATACCCTCAGCTGTCTCAGATGTTTTAGACACCATTTTCTGTTGTAGATTGGTGTGTCCCTGCTCTCCCAGTTCAGGTGAAGCCTTTGACAAGAAAAGCCAAATCTGAAAGAAGCTCATAATCTACATCAGCCAGAGCCACACAGGGAAAGATGGAGGCAAGGGAAGAAGAAAAAGCAAASAAAAATAACTTCTGCAAAGAAGCTGGCACTCAGATGGCTCAGCTGCTGGAAAAACAAGTGTGGCACATGTCCCTTCACAAACAAAATGATGAGTAGGTAACTGGAACTGCAAGTAAAGTCCATGACAAACTGTTATCCACTCTCAAGTCAAATCTTTACTGTAACAGGATTTTACTCATTCAATGTTTATGTTTATTACCTTCTCATGAGCTTTTCTTTTTGTTTCAGAGTCCATCCAGTCGTTTTCTTTTTCTAACATGTCAATAAAAGCCCAGCGAATTCCTTCAGTCAACTCCTCCATCTGCAAAACATTTAATAAATCCCTCTCCAGTAAAACATATAATGGCAGAATCACTGTAAGAAAAGGTCTGGAGTRTGTAGGAGTGACAGATTTGGTTAGACCAAAATGATTGCAAATCAGGTCATATCTGCTATCCTTTCTTGAAGGCTAATTTCTGCTTTCTCCAGTACTGAGACACTTCTTCTGAAGGCAAGTTCCTTTCCGTCTTCTTTCCCTTCAGGTGTACCACATACCCTGCTCATTGCTGATCATTTCATGTCACATTTGTGAGAATATCCATCTTMAAATCATAAAAACCACTGAGAGATTTGCAGTCCTTTGGGGAGATTTCTGACCCTTAGGTTCTAGATCACTGGCCACGCAGCAGGAACCAGCTGAGAGGCATTTTCAGGCTTTTCTGCAGAGAGAGCAACTATTGCCTGGTTTGGTTTATGTGAGACTGAGGCACACCTTATTAATAACTGCTTCTGTGGTCCTGAACCACCGAGGACAGCTTGGATCTGTGCAAAGCTGGGAAAAACCACAACCACTTCTGCTTGGCTGCTTTTTCAGACACCTCTGCACAGCCCAGAACAACATCTCACACGAGTGAAAAATAATAAYAGCACTGCTGAGTGAGTATGTACACTAAGAAAACCCTGAAATGACAGAAACCAGGAAATCTAATGGATAAAGTATGCATTATGTGAGTCTAAAGAGCCCTCATTCCTATGCATCTGTCTGGTAGCCCAGCAAGGTTTTTGCAACCAGCTGCCTCTATTTACCACAGCAAATGAACCCCRTGACAGAGAGCCATGGGGAACACTGTGAGAGTGAGGAAATGAGGGGGATCCAGCCATTTAGTCCTTTAGCACAAACCAGAGTTGAGACTGCACAAGACATGACAGATATCCATTAGATGAAGACTTATTGGAGCTTTGTGTTATCAGTTATGTTGCATTTAAAAATAATGAAAATGTCAAGCAGCAGAGATTTATATAATCTTCTTCTATAAATCTAGTAGCTCTGAAATGTCATTGAAAGTAGGGTCTAAACCCTAGAAAGTAACATTACCTTTAGCTAAATTGTCRTTAATGTATCAGGTGTATATTTTAATCTGGAACTATCCTTTATTTGTGGTGCAGTCAGAAAAYATGTAGCTAAATTCCTTGGATTATTCATTTTTTTCCTACCTTTTTCAAAAACACTTCATATTTTTAGAGGCAATATAGGTCAACTGGAGCAGGTCTAGCATTAAATATGACTAAAGAGTAAACATTCACAGTAAACTGCATCCCAGGAAATGGGGTAACTTAAAGATATTGATGACAGAGCACTGACTCAATTAACTTCATGCACTAATGAGGTGAACTCCCTGTATTTGGAGGTTACAAGTTCAAACTTAAGCTCTGCAGCCAGGCCCTGGTGTATACTTAGGCTTTATGCAGCAGCTRTAGCTGCAGGGGGCAGGGGGAGAAACCTATTCCTGCTATCAAAGTTATTACTGAAACCACTCAGGCGTATCTGTAAGAAACACTGCAGGCACTCTGAGTTAGAAGCAGTGCTATATTTAGACACAAATAATGTCTTTCTTGATAAAAGAAGAGAAGTGTCTAAGGTATGAAACATCAATCACAAAACATGGGGGGGAAAGAATCCATATAATCTGTAACTCAGGATTTGCTTATCATAGACAGATATATGCCATAAGGCAGTAAAAAAAAAATAAAAGAAAGGAAAAAAACTGCAAAAATAAGAATGCTTTACTCACATGCTTTCTTACTGCTTAAGGAAGAAAATAGAACTGAAAACCATTGAAATGAAAATGATAACACCACAAACTATTAACTTGAACAGTACACTTCTAAATGGAATGGAATGAATTTCACCTGTTTGTAATTTTATCTCCATGGGTAGTTCATTTTAAGGCTGAATGTTGTGACCTAAACTATGAATTTTATATGCATTTCTCYCTATGGATGCTACTGTGAATTCAGACTTGATAATTTTCCAAAGCTGTGGTCTAAAAAGGAATGTGCACACTAAGAAWCATTCTAATTAGGTCATATTTCAAGAGAAAACCCTTCTCTGCTCTATCTACTTCTCATATTTTTTTCCTCACATATAGAAACATGARAAAGTGTCCATGCCCTCCATAAAGWGTACATTTCTTCTACTCCTACTCTTCCCACTTATCCTGTGCAGGATAACACACTGCATATGCCTAGCATATTTTTTGCCACAAAATGGCCAAATAGCACATTACAAAGTGRATCAAGAAGCAGGGGATTGAAAATCTGGATCTCGGAGAGGAAACTCCCAGCTGAAGGCAAATATGAAAAGAAATGCAGAACCTGAGAGGGAAACAGGCAACAAAGAATAAATAAAATGTGTGCTTTCTAAAATGGAATCCTTCCCTGAGAAAGCAAAGTAGATCAAGTCTGAGCCAGGGCAGTTCAGGGCTTTCACAGAGTTTTTGCTCCCAGCACAGAGTGCTATTTCATGTTTCCTAAACAGTTGTGCTTCTCCTGCATAGAGAGCTAAGTTCAATGACTAAATTAGTTAATTTAAGACTGATTATTGTTGGAAAATCAATGGCTGTAAAAGCGGATATTGGAAAACCTTGTAAGAAAAACATGAACTGAAAGTAAGTCATAAATTATTATGAAGGGTAATTAATTATTTGAATAGATTATTCAGAGAAGCGATAACATAGCTATTGTTGAAGTTTTAGAATGAGGAACCTCTCTCTGGACTCAGTGGTATGGGAGAATATTTCCTTTCACTGTTCAGCAAAAAAGACCTGAATCACAAAATAAACTCCCACTGTAGCTCTAAGATTCCCTTAATTTGGKCCAGACATCAATTACATATTTCTTGCTTTGTTTACAGGTGTAGCAGTCACGGCTTTCTAAGAGTAGTCCTAAGACAGAGAAGCCTCAAAATTTTTTTTGACTAGCCAGTAAAAACTTTACTATAATGAGTTATCCTAGCTATACTAAACCATTCTCACCAATACCCCTCAMTCTGTTCCTGCACAGCCTGGCTGTCAATATTTATATGAACTAACAGCATCCAACCTAGTTTTGGCTGTTTATTTGTCTGATGGAAAGAAGGGGCAGTGCCCAGATGGGCAGAAAGGTAACACTTCTTCAAATCCATTCAACTTTCTCCTTGTGTTTTGTGGGGGTTTTTTTAATTAAATTAAAACATTTTTAAGAATCTTATCTCTTTTTAAACTTTGTTCTAACATTAGAGGCAGTGAGGAGGAAACCACTAATTGAAAATTTCCAGATAGAGACAGCAGAGGACTCACCATCTCTTTCTTGTCTTCTTGAAAATGGGCTTTCACAAACATCTTACCCACAACGTAGGGGAGGGCATTTTCTACAAGGTCCACACATTTGTCCCACTGAGGCAGCAAAGTTGTAGTCCCATGGATCACCTGTTGACAGGGACAGGTATTAGGCCTTAACATTTTCCTGTTTAAGAAGAACCCACCTGCAGCATAGACCAAAGCATATTTGTCAAATAGCTACAAAGAGGAAAAAAATATTAATAATCTAYAGTTATTTCTATTTTCATCCAGCACTATGACAAATCTTTTGAAGATGATGAAATAGCTGTAAGATTTTAAACTCAAGAGCAGTATAATGGTAACAGTGACTTAGAGATACTAGGCTTAAAGGGTTAGTGCTAACTTTGGACTAATCTTTGCCTCTCTACTTAACACAAAAAGAATACAATTTCCTCTAGAAAAAACCCTGCTCTATCTCCTGTAAGTTTGCCTCTCTTCTGACAGTGTGAGAATCCTAGGGAGATTGTCTTCATGAAAATTGGGTTAGTCCTTACGAAACACCTCCTGCCGAGCCCTCCACTGCCATTGACTAATGGTATCTAACATAAGTATAGATAACTATAGATAGTTATATATATATAACATGACTAATGATATCTAACATGTCCACACCTTCTTGTCATTTAGCTGCCCAGCTACTTTTACCACAGTTTATGTAAAAGAGTTGCTTTCAATTCCTTTCCCAAACAGAGCATTTTCAGGAAAAAAAAAAAAAAAAAAGAGGTTTGAATCATCAAGAACACTGAATATGTTTGTTTCCCCACAAAAAAAAACATTATAAAAATCATTCTATACTGCAGTAGAAAGATGTTGGTAGAACAACTTGATTATCTTACTAAAAGAATGGTAATTAAATCTATACTTTCAAGCTCTCATGATGTCACCATAAATGAGGTTCAGAAGGAATAGTTAAGAATGGTCAACACACCAATGGACAAGGCAAAACAGAACTCAAGAGCATTTGCAGTCTTGGTTTCTGTTTCTCTCAGGAAGAATGTTGTTTCTGTGGGTGCTTACCCAGCTAACATTGCATKTGCTCATCCAGATTTACTGCACATAAAAAACCCTCCACCCAACAAGGTACAAGATGGGTCCATGTGAGCAATAAGCAGTGCTGATTTAAGAACCTTTTGTTATTTTCAAGGTTCAAAGTGTTTCCTTTCCACTTAAGGAACTTTTTAAGCTTTTCCACAGAGAATAARCACAATCCTGGTCCTGTGGTTAACACCTGTCAGCTGTGGAAGGGCAGAGTACAGTCAGCATCAGACCTGATCAGGTACAGGAATAGGGATTTTGGCCTCTCACAGATTATACAAGCCTCTTAAGTATCAATTTTGCAGCTCCTGAGCCCCTGCCTTTTCCCATTATTCTCCTCCTTTGAGCACAAGRTTGAATATCCAGCAAAACTGAAGGGTTTGAATTTGGTTTTTTCCAATAAGAAAAGATTTCACCGGAAAATTCCAGAGCAGCTTAACCCTCAGCTATTGAAGGTGAGATATTTTGGTAGTTCAGAGATTGATTTTCCCTATCATATTGCCTGTAATTAAGCATAATCAATGACTCACACTTAAATACAYCAGTGAATTGCATTTCCAAATGCTTTTTATTAATACTGTATGTGCAGTAATAGATTTTCGATGGCAGAGAGTACACTGCTTCTGTAAAAAAACCCTATTAGTCAAACCAATACATAATAAGGTGATATTTTTCTAAACAGAGCCAAATTCTAAATTCAGCTCCTTTTCCAAATTCTTCAACCTTTATACCATAACACGACACAACACTCAAAAAAAAAAGAAGAAGAAGAAAAGAGAAGAAAATTTCTCTCTGGGGTCATAGTAAACCTTCAATGAAGCTCTTTTCTGATGCAGCGGGGGAAAGGGAGTTATGGCATTAGTCATCAGAGCCTGAAATTCCTTCCAAAACCTCTGAGTATGCATCAGCCACAGAAATAGTCAGGAGACAGAGCTGGCTTTTACACTGTGACATACTATTATTACAACATAATAATTATCATTATTTTGAGGGAGGCTTGACTGCAAGGAGGACATAAAGGCAGTACAGGCTGTGAGACCAATAAAAATAGAGCTGAGAGAAACAGATTATATCTCACAGCTGGTTTATTGATATTTATGTTACAACAGCCAACAAGAACTCCCTCAAATGGTCCTCCTAATATTAATGTACCACTCTAAAACACACTACTTCAGGTAGTAACAGTGACTATAAATAGCAGGTTTTGAGTCCTCCCAGTCAATTTAGAGCTCCATGGCACAATTAACCAACCTCTTTCCCCAGGTGCCACTGCACATTTACAAGGTCTCAAAGTGCCACTGCAGAGGAGCTGCTGATAGTTGCTGATGTGGTACTCAAAGCACTTTCTCCAGAGTCAGCAGGTTTGTCCTATTTCTAAACCTGAAGGGGTTTTTTTTTAAAAAAGTTTCATTATGTATTTTTCTTTCTCCTTGCAAGGATTTTAAGGTCTTGATGCCAAGGTTGCAACATATAAGGAATAAAATTCACCAAGAGAAAATGAGAACCTGGTAAAAAAAAATATTGTGCTTATGATGGTTGAGACTGACCGAATTAATGAAACTGTGAATGTGCAAAATACATCCTTTCCTTTAAGGGTCACTGATTTAACTTAAGGTTCTATCATTTTATTAGTAATTCAATATTTTATTCACTTACCTGGCAAGGGGTTGGTGGGTTCTTTTTATGATCCTAAATCACTTTTAGTCATCCATCCTCTGACTGTACAAATCTATTCAATGATAAAATAGTCCAATACCTTGGACTCCATCCCTCATGTCCTTTCTATTGACCTGTCAAGTCTGTTCCACTGAGCTGYTTATTCCACTTAACTTYAGCTATTAACTATTAGCTACTGCTGTTYACTGCATTTAACTAACTTTCCATCTCCAGGTCCCAGG